GAAGGGACCACTTTTTTTTTTTTTTTTTGGAGAGATTTTCACTGTAGGGCGCGTGCGCTCGCCAGACAGACAGAGAGAGACATAGAGACAGAAAGCGAGAAATCACCCCCCAGGGGGGATGGTCACGCCGCAATCCCTTCTCCTCCATTCTCCTCTCGGGATCTTGGGCACGCACGCACACGCGCCCGGCGTGAGTTTTAAGCCACCGGGTCCGGGACACGAACCGCGGTCGACTACGTGGGAGTCCAGCGATATAGCCATTACGCTAACTGCTGGTTCCCTAGAAGGGACCACTTTTATAAAGCAAAAAATTTTACAGTCTTTGGTATTCTTAAACTCTTTTTAAGGTAGTGTCTCTTCTCTTCAAGTCATTCAAGAAGGACAAAATAAAAGAGGGGAACGTGTCAGAGTTTATCTGAGAATATCGTGGTCCTCGTAGATCTGATGCAATTCTCATTGACCCACTGCTCCTTGGTATATGCGAGCCTCAGAAATAATTGAGGGTGCTGAGGTCTTCAAACCCTAGTTATAGAATTGTCATTATAGAATCTCTTATTTGAAATGTTATTATAACTTTATTATTATTATTTTATAGTTTGATCAAAGAGAGACAGAGAAAGAAAGAGAGGGAAAGTAAGGAGGAAAGCCACCAGATCTGTGACTTAAACCACAATAGACAATGTGGGAGTCCAGTGCCCTTAACCACCATACCACCTGCCGGCCCCAAGGGAAAAAAAAATTTTTTTTGAGAGTTGTTTTTGCTATAGGACACATGAGCTCGCCAGAAGGACAGAGAGAGACAGAGAGACAGAAAGCAAGAAATCACCCCCCAGGGGGGATGGCCACATCGCATTCCCTTCTCCTCCATTCTCTTCTTGGGATCCTGGGCGCACACACACACACCCGGCATGAGTTTAAGCCACTGGGTCCAGGACTCGAACCGCGGTCAACTACATGGGAATCCAGTGACATAGCCATTACGCCAACTGCTGGTCCTGAAAAAAATTTTAAATTGTCTTAATTCACTGCACAGCGACTTGATGTGTAGATTAGCACCATTTCCTTGGATCAGCATTATTATGCTAGCTGGCTGACGGAAGCATGGAGAAGGAGCATGACATGGAGACCAGGGCTATACGCATGCAGACTTAAGGAAAAGAATATGGCTTCTTATTTCCCCAATCTCTTTTTAAATGTTTCCATCTCACCTAACCATAAGCCAGCCTAAATTCTTTTACTCTTGACTTTCAGACTTACCTCCATCTTAGGACCATCCTCAAGAAAACTATAAAACAGGCGTTATTTTATGTTTTTTTCCCTCACAATAGCTAGTGTCTTCACATTCTCTTTATTTACCAGTCTGTTTCCCAGGGAGCTGGGCCTGGGGTGAGATGGAACTGGGGTGCTCTCAGCATGGAACCCGTGTCCTTAAGGGTCTGGTTGGTTCTTCTATCCCACTTTGCTGCCCACGAAACTACAGACTGAGCTGCAAACTCATTCTTCCATGGTCGGCTCTGTGAGGCTGGTCTAGCGACCAGCAGACTCCATTTCTCCTTTGCTAGCTGTTTCCCTGTTAGGCTCAGCCCCCAGGATGTGCTAGAGGGAAACCGCCAGGTGACAGGAGGCCAAGGGACTTGCCAGTCAGTCTTGCCTCAGCAGCAGCACCACCTTGATAGGGACAACTGATTTCATTTCTCCCCTATATTTCTCTGAGGCAATCCAGCCCTTTCCACAGAAAAGTGGGTCCCAGCTCCCTCTTCTAGCTTCTGTGTGCTAATAACTGCAAGCACTGCCTTTTGTCCCCAGGCTATCATGTTAGCTGCTTCCTCATGACTGGTTCTGTTATTTCAGTGTCCCCTGTTTGGTTTTTCAATTCTCCAATGTCTTCATTACCATTCCTTCTGTTAAATTTTCTCTGCTAAAGGACCAGCAGTTGGTGTAATGGCTATGTCGCTGGGCTCCCATGAAGGCAACCACGGTCCAAGTCCCGGATCCAGTGGCTTAAACTCATGCCAGGTGCATGTGCGTGCATGCCCAAGATCCCAAGAGGAGAATGGAGGAGAAGGGATTGCGGCGTGGCCATTTTCTGTCTCTCTGTTTCTGTCTTTCTGGCAAGCGCACACACCCTGTAGGAAAACCTCTCCAAAAAAAATTTTTTTTTCTCTGCTAAAATAACTGGTGTGGAGGTCAGCAGGTGGCAAGGCAGTTAAGATGCTGGATTCCCACATGGCCGAATGTGGTTTGAATCCCAGACCCTGTGGCGTAAAAATCACACTGGATGTATGTGTGTGTACATACCCAAAATCCTGAGACGGGACTGGAGGAGAAGCATGGCCATCTCCCGGGGAGGGGGCGGGGGTGGTGGTGATTTCTCACTTCCCTTCTGCCTTCTGTCTATCTTCCTCTGGTGAGTGCATGTGCCCTATGACAAAAATCTAAATAAAGAGCATAACATAACTAGTGTGATTCCTTTTCCCCTAACTTCATCCTGAGAATTGGCCCTGACCAACTCCAGGGTCAGTGCTGTTTAAAGTGGGTCCCCTCACCCCTGCTTTTGTACATATTCTGAGTATCTATGAAATTGTCACTGGGTGGGCTCATTTAATCCAAAGAATCCAGTGATCTTGTTGCTATCCACACTTTACTTCTTTTTTTTTTTTTCTTTTCTGTTTTTTGGAGAGGTTTTCACTATAGGGCATGTGCATTAGCCAGAAAGACAGAGGGAGACAGAGAGACAGAAAGCAAGAAATCACCCCCTAGGGGGGATGGTCACACTGCAATCCCTTCTCCTCCATTCTCCTCTCGGGATCTTGGGCACCGACGCACACGTGCCCGGCGTGAGTTTAAGCCACTGGGTCCAGGACTCGAACCACGGTCAACTACATGGGAGTCCAGCGACATAGCCATTACGCCAACTGCTGGTTCCTCCACACTTTACTTCTGGTAACTGAGACTCACAGAAGTTAAATCATTTTCCCAGACTCACACAGAACATGCTAGAACTCAACTAAACCAGGTTTGCCTGACTTCCACCCCTTCTCTCCGAATTCCAGTTTGCTCCTGCTGTCCCTGCCTGTGCCTCAGCATCTCTCCTCTACATCTCCATCATCTACTCCTTCATCCTCCAAGTGGGGCATTGGAGGCAGGTGGAATCTTGGGCAGGGAAGAAAAAGGGCCCTAATTACCCAAATAAGATGAGTGAAGGGGATGATGTTGAAGCCACACAGGCAGAGTCCACTGAGATGCAGGGCTCAGGGATACAAAGCATGGGGTGAGTATGTTACCCTCAACAATGAGAATATCCAGGCCAAAGAAGGAAACACTATCTGGGAATGCCATAGAAAAAAGACAAAATGGAGTCAACTTGAGCAACAGCAGCAACAGCAGCTTTGAAATGGTTACCTCTTCCCTAAAAAGGCTTAGACACTCTGAAAAATATTAAACCTCAAGAAAAATTAGTTATCCTCAGCATTATCCTAATACCTTTTACTAGCAAATCTTTACAACACATGGAGCACTGCACAGTATCATGTCATCTGACAACACAATGACTTTGTATATTGTTTACCTTGCTGATATTGTGACTTTTCTAGTGGTGTTTTCCTTTTCACTTCTACTGCTAGGAAGCCCAAAGTCCAATGACTGGCCCATGTTAGGTAAATGAATAGAACTTTGTGGTATCATGTCTACAATGATTTTCCTCTTTTTTATGTTATCTGTGATTATTTTATTTTTATATGTCTTTGGAAGAATAATCTCAGAATATTTATTCCTGGGGCTGGCAGGTAGCATGTTGATTAAGGGTGCTGGACTCCCACATGACTGACCATGGTTCAAGTCCTGGACCTGGTGGCTTGCTTTCTCACTTTCTCTTCTCTCTGTCTTTTTCTCTCTCTCTCTCTCTCTCTCTTTCTCTGTCCCTCCCTGGTCAAATTAAAAATAAGTAAATAAACAAATTCAAATAAAATAATTCTTTTAAAAAAAGAGTATTTGTTCCTCCTTCTGTATCATCACCTGTATACACATTTATAAGTTCTCTACTTCTATTCATATTTCACTTCTATTGCCATTTATCTGTCATCGTTATTTGTCCATATATTGCTTTATCCACATCAGTCACTTGGAGGGACACAGGACGATCCAGCTGTCCTTGGAGTCTTCCAGTTGTGTGTTTGTAAGCCAAATTTGAACATGAAACCATAATTATGAAGCTTCTGACATACAGATGGTTCACATCTGGTCTTGGAAGCCTCCACTGTGTCTCCATGAGAAAGCCATTCGTTGATAGACACACTAATGGGCCTGTGATTTAGGACCCAAAAACCTAAAAACAGTCTGGCCCATCAAGAAATCCCATTCATCATTTCATTTTTTGGAAAGGATATAAAAAATGAAATGTCAGAGCTATAATGTCAGGACCGTTTAAAATGTCAAGTGCTTGTTGTTGCATAGCCTGGCTGTCTGCAGTTCTGATCAAACCTCCAACTGGTATAATAATTACAGATGATACATTGCATTTTCATGCACAACTGGACCCAGATTTGTAATAGATCAGATGGAAATATTCTCACTGCCCAGCCTGAAGTTTTCTCCTTTTACTACACAGCTTAAGACTTTTCCTTTGGAGCAGAACATGATTACTAATTCAAGACAGCATTCAGGGTAGGGAATGAGAAATAAGGGCAGAAAAAAAGGTTCTCAAATAGACCAGAACCTGGTCATTTATAATGCACAGATGCAACAAGAGCCAAGAGGCAGCAAGCACATTTGCTGAATGTATGTCTAATCTAAGAATGCTGAACAGTGGGAACACTCTCCAGAAAGTTCAGTTCTCTTTCAGGGTGCAGATTCATGGGTGTGCAAGGAAATGTACATGTGAGCTTCATTTTCAACTGAGATGTGAAGACAATCTTTCAGTGTAACGGTGTGTTTTCACATGCAGAGAGAGTACCAACGTACACACAAAAGCAGTAGTGCATCTGTTTAGGATCTTTGTGGACATCTTTATTCAGTTTTAAAAAATGCTGCATTCATAAGCTATATCAGTGATAAGAAAGACCTGAAATTAACATCATATACATGGGAAGATTTCGTTCCTTCTCTACTGAGAGATTTGTGCCAACTAAAAGCTCAGAAAGACGTGCTTGCGCTACTTCATTTTCACCTTCCCTGGGCCAGCCGTGTTAGGTGGCTGTCAGGAGTGCGTCTCCTGGGTCTGGCTGCTTCCCATTACAGATTACTTTCAGCACGTTGGAAAGGTCGAAGCTCTTGGAAACAAGCTCTAGGAGATCCTGATCTTTTTCTATGCCACTGATAAATTCTTCTAAAGTCAATTCACCTGGAAAACAATAAATGAACAATTAGCCCACTCCTTGGCACCTGTAATATAGTCACTGGATTTCTCATTGCACTCTTCCTTGGCATCCTTTCACCTCAACCAGATTCTAAGATCTTTGAAGATCTTTATACAAGGGGTCTTCAAAAAGTTCAGAGAAAATGCATGTTATGAAAAAACTGTGCATGGATTTCAATATTTTTTGCACCAAAATAAGCTCATGCTTTAATTTCATGCTTTCCCAAACTTTTTTAATGTACCCTGTATTTTAAAAAAAAAGTATTCAGTGGTGGGTTGTGAGTGAAAGTAATGTAAACAGGTATTACATAATGTACTTTTAATGGAGAACATCAGGAAACATATCTGATGGAATAAAGGGTTACACACCTTTGCATATCTATATAGACTTGGTTACCTGACCTTCATTCTGGAAGATATGACCAAATCACAGGAGCATGACAGAGAGCAGATTGTTAAGATCAAGGTGAAGTGATTATTTGCAAGACTGTTTTCAATATTCTGTTTTCCAAGGAAATAATTCCAGGGATTGTTCAAAGCTGTGAGACACCAGTGGCTAGTTCTTCCCCCTCCCCCAACCCCGGTTTTTAATTCCTAACTTTATTAACTTGACTTAAGCCTTAGGCCTGTGCCGACCAGTTCAGGACTACAAATCCCTTATACCCAGAAGTATTGCCTGCCACATTTTTCTATTATCCTCATCTCACAAGATGACTTTTTAACATTTTTGTGGGGGTGGTATTCTCCTTGATATAAATCATTTAGATTGCAATTATGTGTGCGTTCAAGTTGACAGGTACAAATGTCGTTCCTGACCTCCAAGAGATCATACCCAACAGGGTTTATGGCTGTGGATGGAAGGTCAGCAAAGACAAATTAAGTACATTCATGCACCCACGGAAGTGTGCCAAGGCAGAAAATCAAAAGGATCTGAAACCAGTATATTATACTATACTTTCCAACAGACAAGAAATCTCTAAAACACCACAGTCAGGCCAGCCCCGTACCATGATGGTTAAGCACTGTGCAGAGGAAACTGGATCTGACATGACTGACCGAGGTTCGAGTCTTGACTCTGGTGGCTAGAAAAATGTGCTGGCTGCTTGCAGGCATGCCCAGGATTTTGACAGGATGAAGAATTGGGAGAAAAAGGATGGTGGTATGACCAGGCCCTTTTGGAGGTTTTCTCTCTTTCTTATTCATGCATGTGCACTTTCTGGCATAAGATATATACATGTGACATAAAATACATACACATGACATAAAATACGTGTGTGTTTGTGTGTGTGTCACCACCATAGTGACTCAAATATAAATGAGCACTAATCATTACATTCTCATACCATAGTTTTCTGGTCTTCAATGAAAAATATTAAAATACATTTTTTAGAGGGAAAACTAATCTTGTTTAGATTTTACTTATGCTAAAGAAATGCCTATGTAGTCTTTATTATTATTGCCAGAGAGCCTATGAGCTCACCAGAGGGAGAGTAAAAGAGAAAGCACCCTGCAACAAGGAACGGTCATACCGCAATACTTTTCCTTCCATCTTCCAGGATTTGGGGGCACAAGAACACAAATACCATGATTTTCAAGCCTCCAGGGCTGAAATTTGAACTATGGCTGGCCATATGGGATCTAGTTCCTGCGTGCAGCATGTAGCCTCGGAGCTATAGGGCCAGCCCAAGAAAGATCAGTGCAAAACCACAGCCTACAGCAGTTAGGGACAGAATCCTCTGTGTGTCACAGGGAAGTGCATCTGTGAAATAAGCCAAAGTGAAGCTGAGAAGATTGCTGAGAGGAGGAGGGCCACATGGGTGCAAGGAGGCTTCAAATAATCCAAGTATAATCTCCTTTTGCAAAGGGAAATCACAGCTGGTATACCCAACCCAAATATGTTTCAACTTTCTAGGAGCCTAGCATGAGCAAAAGAGTAGTTGGAATGGGGGAGCAGCAGATGACATAATGGCTACGTCACTGGACTTCCATGTAGTCAACCGAAGTTCGAGTCTTAAACCCGGTGGCTTAAAACTCATGCACATGTGAGTGTGGGTCCAAGATCCTGAGAGTAGATGGAGGAGAAGGGATTGCAGTGTGGCCATCCCCATTAGGGGTGATTTCTCACTTTCCGTCCCCCTGGCAAGCACACATGCCCCTGGTGGGAATGGACAGGTGGGAGCTGGAGTTTGTTTCCATTGCTCAGTTATGAAATTTCTCCATTGTCACCACCAGCAATAGAGAAGCTGATGAAGTATCTGAAGGGACTGGGATGTACTTGCCATCTTAGTTGAAAAGCCATACAAGTTACTAATGGGGAAAGAGAAAAAAAAGTGAACTTCTTCACAGGGTTTTTTTGGGTTTTGTTTTTGTTTTACTTTTCCAAAAATACTTGTGAATTCTGCTTATTAATTGTTTTCATGTTACCAAACCACTAATTGTTTAAAAAAAATAACTATTTTCGGGACCAGCAGTTAGGCTATGTCGCTGGACTCCCATGTAGTCGACTGTGGTTCATGTCCCGGACCCGGTGGCTTAAACTCACGCCGGGCGCGTGTGTGTGCATGCCCAAGATCCCAAGAGGAGAATGGAGGAGAAGGGATTGTGGTATGGTCATCCCCCCTGGGGGGTGATTTCTCGCTTTCTGTCTGTCTCTGTCTGTCTGGCAAGTGCACGTGCCCTATAGTGAAAACCTCTTCAAATAAATAAATAAATAAATAAATAAATAAATAAATAAATAAATAAATAAATAAATAAAAATAACCATCTTCTAAGTCATCTACCTCCACCTATAGTAACTTCTGTGTACTATATTAAAACATTTCTTTTGAAATTTCCCTCTTTTTCTCTCCAGCACTCTGTCTGTTCACTCATTCATCAGACATTTACAAAGCACTAGACTGCAGTGACCATTTTCACCACCCGGCAGCACAGTTCCATCCTGCCACAATGTTGTGAATATGGTAGCTGCTCAGAAAACATACTCTGATGGACACCCTTTTTCACCTGATTTTTTTGTTTGTTTTTGTTTTTGTTTTTTGTTTTTGTTTTTGTTTTTGTTTTTTTCAGAGAGAGACAGCATGTGCACTTGCCGGAGAGACAGAGAGACAGAAAGCAAGAAATCACCCCCTATGGAAGTTGGCCACACTGCAATCCCTTCTCCTACATTCTTCTCTCGGGATTTTGGGCATGTGCGCTCATGTGCCTGGTGTGAGTTTTAAGCCACCGGGTCTAGGACTTGAGCTGCGGTTGACTACATGGGAGTTTAGTGACGTAACCATTGTACCATCTGCTGGTCCCTTCACCTGATGTTTTTTAGCACTGCTTCCTAATCCTCTTTCACTGGACTGTGGATTTAGGCCTATACAGAATAGAGTGAAGATTTGTACATCTCCCTAGAAAGGGCTACCTAAAGGTCCAGAAGCTTCCCGCCCAAGGATCTCCTAACAGAGAGCCACATATGCCAGTGATAGCTGAGGGGGAGGTCACAGGGCTCAGGTGGGCCCCAAAACAATTGCTGAGTTTTATGATTTTGTTTTCTATTTGAAGACCCATTTCCATATTTGTAGGGCATAGTTCAGAAATTGCATTTTAAATACATATACGCATAACTGACATCTTCATTGTGTCAGGCCATTAGTTGAGTGCAAAAATGGTAACAGGCTAGCTCCCCATGAGCATCTTCCGTAGTTCTCTTTTTCTAATCTGATTATTCTGTTAGCATCTCTAGATCATGCACGAGCATTCCTTAGCATCTTAACTCATCTTTTGTGACAAAACAAAACTTACACTCAGCGTAGAAAAGGCAAACTTTACTACAAATGTCCACACCAGAATTTTTTGCTCTAAAGAAGTCAGCTTGAGTTTAAGAGAATTCAGACTGTTGGAACCAGCAATTGGCATAATGGCTATGTCGCTGGACTCCCATGTAGTCAACCACGGTTCAAGTCCCGGACCCGGTGACTTAAACTCACTCCAGGTGTATGTGCGTGCAAACCCAAAATCATGAGAGGAGAATAGAGGAAAAGGGATTGTGGTGTGGCCATCCTCCCTGGGGAGTGATTTCTCACTTTCTGTCTCTTTCTGTCTTTCTGGTGAGTGCATGTGCCCTACAGCAAAAAACTCTCCAAAAATAAAGAAAGAGAACTCAGACTGTTTAAAAAAAAAAAAGTCTTTTTAAAAATAAAAATGCTAATTCCTTCTCAATATGGTTTCATGAAAAATTGTGCTGTTCCTGAGAGATGAAGCGAAAATGGGGGTGGGAGGAGATTCAGGAGATGAAAGTGACCAGTTTTTCAAGGAAGGCTGCTGGTGATGTTTTTAAATGACACACAGGAGTTTTGTGTTCATGAGCAAGGTGGCAGTAGAGGCCTGCAACAGCACTTCACAGCAGCATGATAGCGTGCAGCAATTTCTCCTCTCCAGACAGACTCCTCCTGCTTACCTCTGGGTAGTTCTCAGTTTTCCAGTGTGATTCATTGTGACCCCTGCTTTTCCCAACGATCCACTGGTCTTTCTCGTTAGTCACTCAATAAAACATCTTGCCCTATGTTCTCTTCCTGTTTTCTTTTAGCGAAAATGTCTGTTCAATAACCATCCTCTGTCGTTTTCTCTTTGGCCTCTTGCACTTTCACGACACAGCACGAGCCACGTAAGCCACCCTTACCCTGTGCCACTTGGCCCTGTGCTAAGCGTGGCCAGGCACCCTCTGCACTCGATGTGAGCCATCTATCCGTCTTCCTCCATCATGTCAAGGAGTCCTAACCAGGGTAGAGAAGAATGTGACTGCTATTCTTCCAATGTTAGAGCTTGCAAATTCAGGCCACCAGGTGGCATAATGGTTAAGGTTCTAGACTCCTACCTGGCCGACCATAGTTTCGAGTACCTAACCTGTTGGTTTGAAACTCATGGGCATGTGTGGGTGCATTTATAACAAAATCCCAAGAGGAGAATGGAGGAGAAGGGATTGAAGTGTGGCTGTCCCCTTT